ACTGCTTAGTCCAGGCCATTCACATATGCTCATGTTGTTCAAAGTCTTGTACTCATGTTTGTCAATGCTTTGTGTCCGCGACCAAAGTCTGTCGAAGGTCGGAAGCCGCTTCGCGGCCCTTTAAGCTCTTGCGTCACAGCAGTCCGCTGTTACTTCGGTATCTGTTAGCCGGACCTCCGTTGTCCGTGGGGGTTGGGCCCGATAGCGTGTATTCCGCACCCTAGCCTGCTTAATCCGGTCCATCGCGCTTGTCCCCGGTCAAGTGTCATGTCTGTAACAACCATTCCCTATCAGTATCATCAAAATCATCTCTTTTAATCTCTTCGGGCCTTCAGCCCATTTCATGCCATCTCTTTCTATACTCTTTATCCTTTACCTTCATTTACGAAAAAAAGTGTGATGTAGTGCGTCGCGAAACGTCTCTTTCTATACTCTTTATCTTTTACCTTCGTTTACGAAAAAAAAAGTGTGACGTAGTGAATTGATACGTCTGAATAAGTGCGTCGCGAAGACATTATCTAAAGTTCACGGAAATTCGCATAGTGGTCTATTCGTAACAAGTGAAGAATTAGTCCGCAACCGAAAATACAGGAAGTGCAAAATAGTGGCCAAGGCTGGAATCGTCAAGTCGTCACCAGGATTCGCCGCTACGACTTAGCGCCATGCTTTTGGTATCGCCTAAAACCGGAGCGTTGTGTATCTCCCCACTCATCTCTGCAGGTATACTCGAAATTATAATTTCTATGAAAACATTCACATCTCTCTGTTAGTTCAAAAAGATCTTGTACGATGTCGCTTTATCCTTCCCCCCGCAACCAAAAAATGAATTTTCGTAACCTTCTGCAAATGAGGAATACCATCAGTCGATACAAAAGTGCAATGTCGGAGACACAAAATGTCAAAAGATACCACAAGAGGGTACTACGCAATAATTAAAAATGGTTATCAAATGACTATGTTACTATCAAAGAAGGTAATATTTCAGATAGTTTCATGTAATAATAAGAAAAAGCGTAACGCAAGTATTATGAGAGAACAAATAGCTTATTAAAAGTTATAAATACATGTGACGTAAAATAGGCAAAAATAGTAACGTGCATTTATTATAAAGTCAAAAAACTAAACAAGCGTTAACTCAAGGACAACAAAACTGAAATTCGCATACAGAGTAATTATTCCGAAACGAGAGAAAACTTCATCAACGTCACAATAATCATCCACCTCCCCCCCCCCCCC